GTTTGGATTGAGTATTTGACAAACTTGTTGTTTGGGGCCAATTACCACACAAATACCACATAATATAAAACCTGTTATTTGGTATGTGATATTTGGTCTCAAACTTGTTATTTGGCAAATACTTGCCCCCTCCCAAGTATTTGGCAAACAACACTTTTTGTGTTATTTGGTCTCAAACCTGTTATTTGACAAAACACTACATCCAAATAACACATCCCACTTTTTGTCAGCCAAACATGTTATTTGGGATCAAATAACAGATTTTATGTTATTTGACTCCAAATAACACCCCCAAATACTCAATCCAAACGACCCCTAGGACTCCCACAATTTTTTGTTGCTAGAATGTTGTGATGTTCATCAATTTTGTTACATCGATTTTGATGAAGCTAAATCGTTGTGGATATCAGTAATCTTACATTAAAATCATTAAAAAACTAAAGCGATCTAACCAACTTGTGCATATTGAAATTTTTTTTGTATAAAACGTGTATGTTAAGACTTTTTTTTATCAACTATAGTCTTCCAAAAAGATCCGGAATTGGGATAGAGTGCAGTTAGGGGTGAGCAATTGGGGAGTTTCGGTTTTAAACTAATACTATGCACTTATTAACAAGTTGGTACAATTGTGACCCGCAATTCATCATATATTATTTTGGGTTGGGTTGGGTAGGTGATAGATGAGTGTGATTGGGTTGTGGATTAACCTGCAAATGCAATTCTTTAGCGTGTAATTAGGCCATTTGACTAACATTTGTAATAAATTCCTCGCGAATTAGTAAGACTGCATCAATTATACACCTCCCTCCAATTTGTCACGTACGGATATGTCTAGTATTTGTATAAAATCTTTCATGACTTCTTCAACCAATTATGTAGAGAAAGTTCACGTTTTTTCTCACTTAGATACAATTAATAATTTATAGTCTGCATCTCAATATCCAATGGAGATTATATACACAACATAGTAACCAATAGTAGTAGTCCAAAAATATTTTTTATTTTTCACCTTTAAAAGTCGATGGTCAATCTGTAGTGTCTATTAAGAAATACGAAAACTATTTGTTAATATAAATAAGAAACAACTATTTTCCCTGTAAATACGGGATGCGGGTCATTCGAGTGACCCTCAATCCATCTATCATCCACCCAATAAGTGCAGATATGAAATTTATTGGTACACAACCCACTTGTATCAATCATCCATCCACTATTATTTTGATTATTTGCAGTTGCAGGTGAATCATGTCAAACCGCGGATGGCCATTGGCCACCCTAAATGCAGTAAACAACTGCTTAGGTCTGAGTGAGGAGTAGCAAATAAAGTGTTAAGGATAATGATGATAATAGGGCTCACGGTGGGTTACCACTTACCCGCACTAATCTAATCTTCACATACCCAAAAACTTTAATTTGAATTTTTTGCGGCTTCTTTTCTTATTTTGTTCAGTCATTCGCTTTCCTTTAAGCCTAACTGGATTCCATTCAGGGATGGTTTGTATGAGAGTTTTATATGTGGGTTTTGTAAGGAATTTGGTTCAAATTCCTCACTTAAACAAAGTATAACTGGATTTCATTGGGGCGGTTTTAATGGTTTTTTTTCCTTTCTTCTGAAGGTGTTGTAAGGGTTTGGGTTCAAATTTCTCACTTAAACAATCATACAATTGTGTGAGATAATTGTGCAAAATAACTTATTTGTTTATTGATCTGAATTTTCAATAGCAGAAATTAAGAGTCAGTTATGTCCTTACAAACCCAAAAAAAGGAATGGGCTTGCATCGGCGAGGAAGACACACCACCTCTTTGTTGCTCCACATATGTCGAGCTATAGAGACAGAGTTAAACACAATTTATCTGATTCTTCGCGACGGAAATTTGGGCGATATGTCTAGATCATCAAATGGGGTAAGATCAAGTGACTACGGGGTTCCTTTGTCACATGATTAAGCAAATCTCAGCCATTGAACCTTATTAAATTTGATGATTCCAATTAATCTCATTTAATGAAGCATAATGTGATAATTGCAGAATTTTTTAATTTTCAATTGTTACATTTTAAATAAATAAGTATCCAGGTCTCCGTCGTCCCTTCCCAATTCTGCATTCGTTGACTAGAATTTTCCGCCGTTCTGCCCAGTTCCTGCGACCGGAGACGACGGAGGAGGATTTTCCAACTGCAGTGCTGATTTGTGATGTTTGTCGGACTATTTTGTAATGTTTGTAAATTGTAATACTGGGTTGTAAACTTGTAATGTTAATATAAATTCGATTTGTATTGTTTATCATGCTTGTTTGTCATTTTTGTCTATTATGTTTGTAATATTTATATGACTAATTTGTATATATTGTAATTCGCAATGTTTGTATTTCTAGTTCATATACTTTGTGTTATGATTTGTATACTTTGTATTTATTGGTTTGTGATAAAAGTTTGTCAATTTTTATTATAAATAGCGGTATTTTGTACGGTTAGTATGCTTCATACTGTTTGTCAGTTTCTTTTATGTTTGTAACCTTTTTCATTTTTGTCCACCATGTGTGTAATGTTTTTTATTTAAAAAATAACTTGGTTGACTTTTGGATGAAAACTCCTCTATATAGATGGAGCCTCCAAAGCCAACTCGGTTGTTTTTCCATTTTGTATGGTTTGTCGGTCTAGTTTGTCATATATTGTCCACAATGTTTGTAATGTTTGTATGTCTAAAAAACAAATGGGTTGACTTTGAGAGGAATCCTATATAGGGATTGAGCCTCCAAAGTCAACCTGGTTGTTTTTTCAATTTGTATGGTTTATATTGTTTGTCGGTCTACTTTGTATTGTTTGTATAGTTCGTATGTTTTATATTGATTGTAAATCTGTTTGTATGTATTGTCATTCTACTTTGTATTGTTTGTATGGTCTTTTTATGTTTGTAAGTCTGGTTTATATACTTTGTAATTTTCATAATACCCAAATTATCTATGTCATTAATTAAAAAGCTCTTCTCATATTTTACCTGTTAGATTTGCATTTCTAGATCTAAGAATTAGAAGGGATTTAGTCAAGTGACTAAGCATCCCTTAGTCATAGCTCATAGGATCTGCTCTCTCATCAAACCGCATCTCTAGAAACTTGCAACCAAAATGATGACTAAGAAGCAGTGAAGAGGGCGAGAGATTTGGGCACAATTGCTCAAGTGGGGAAGTTTTTTTGCAAGCTCACATTGAGAGCCGTAGTGAGAGAGCCTTTTCCTTGCCGGCGATCACCCTTTACTCCAGCATCTCCAACCACAAAGGAGGCTCGCCACCTCTAACAATGAGTTGCAATTGTATTATTAACATTTTGAAAGGAATTGTATCGTTCTCAATTGTATCGTTCTCAATATTTATGAAAGGAATTGATGGCACGTTAAACACAACAATATCGTTCTCAATTGTATCGTTCTCAATTTTATCACCTTATTTAGTCATTTAATAAGAATTTGCTTGATATTTGCTCAAATATGTGATTGATAGCCTCTAGGTGTTTTTTTGGATAGTTTTGAATATTTTCCTGCAAAGGTATTGCAAAGGCTCATCATGGCATGATAAAGGATGAAAATACTAGTACCTGGGATCAAACGAAAGTGGATTAAGAGGTCGAATTTATGAGTGAGATATGCCCCGAACAAGTTGACCAGTTTGAGAAACCCAAAAATTGTGGATGTTTAGCCTGCCAAAATCCCAAATGGCGCCAAATCTGCCATTCTTGGCAAGGAAGATTATTCTAACTCTAGCAGAGTGAATATTCCATCCTTTTGCCCCAACCAGACATATCCCAAAGATATTCCTTTTTAACTTTTCAAATATTTTCTTCTTCAAAACCTTTTGAAAAACCAGATTAAGAAGCCAATAAATAGACCCCTTGCGATCCAATTGACATAACTTAATAATACATACAGGGAGCCGTAAAGTACAAAGGAAAGGAGGAGATACTCACTGACCCATGAGCCGAGAGGAGAGAGAAAAAGTCCACTTTTTGGGCGAGCCGATAATTTGGGCGGAGGAAGTGGGCGGGTTTTGGGCGGCCCGAAATTTTGGCCGGGAGGTGGGCAGATTTTTGGGCGGGAAACTTGGTTTTTGATGGAATAATCGGATCTGGGCTTGCAGCCTAGTAAGGGCTGCCCGCCGAGGGCCCATGGGCCGAAGGGTCATAAAACAATTTTTTGGGCCGATATTGACATGACCTGACAGGATATGTTTTTATAAAAGGACGAATATTGGTATGACATTATGAGATACTAGTCTGGGTTTTACAGATATTTGTTGACATGTGTTGGCATAATATCAATTCCTAATTCCCTTAAGTTTTTTTTTTACACTCGTTCAGTTATGCATTGTCGGGTCTGGTGGCTTGCAGCCTAGTAAGGGCTGCCCGCCGAGGGCCCATGGGCCGAAGGCTCATAAAACAATTTTTTGGGCCGATATTGACATGACCTGACAGGATATGTTTTTGTAAAAGGACGAATATTGGTATGACATTATGAGATACTAGTCTGGGTTTTACAGATATTTGTTGACATGTGTTGGCATAATATCAATTCCTAATTCCCTTAAGTTTTTTTTTACACTCGTTCAGTTATGCATTGTCATTAATAGTTGTCTTGTGCAGGGATGTTTGTAGGTTTTCGTCGTCGATGGTGTTCCTTATGGTTGAGAGATCAATTCGCAGTCGGGATGTTGACTACGCAAGCCAGCGAGTCGTGCAATGCACAAGTGCGACTTTTATTGAAAATGATTTGGACTTGTTTTTCATTCACTTTAGCAGGTACGCAGAATATTTCTTTGCCTTTCTTTGATATTAGTCTACTTAAATTTTGGATATTTGTCAGCGTTATCCGGATATTTATATGCTATTGTTAAATATTACTTTGTTTAGTTGAGATATTAATATTGGTTTGAGTGGATATTAGTCTGGGCACTAAACTCTTTCTCGTGCTTTGTAAATATAGTTTGTTGGCTGAAAAAAGACGCAAGGAGACTGAGTCAGACTACAATGGGAAACAATCGGTTCCTTATATTATGATGGAGGATAGCTCGTTCCTACAACATGCGGCAAATGTCTTTACTCCTAACATCTTCAATCGGATACAAAATCAGTATTTGAAAACTGAACCCTATCTAAAGGTCTTTACTCCTTGTGCACGTACTTGCGCTGCGACTTCATCATCTTCTTCTTCCTCATCCTCCTCTGGCTGTGGCGGTGGTGACGGCGGTGGATTTCGTCGATGTCTCTTCACGTTCGTTTTATCCCTGCACGTACAAATATCTAGATATATCAAACAATTATCCAAGCAATTCACAACAGATATCATGCTGGTTAAAAACCAATATCCAGATATATCAAACAATTATCCAGGGAAATCACAACTGATATCATGCTGACCAAAAACCAATATCCAGATATATCAAACAATTATCCAAGCAATTCACAACAGATATCATGTTGGTTAAAAACCAATATCCAGATATATCAAACAATTATCCAGGGAAATCACAACTGATATCATGCTGACCAAAAACCAATATCCAGATATATCAAACAATTATCCAGGCAAGTCACAACTGATATCATGCTGATCAAAAACCAATATCCAGATATATCAAACAATTATCCAGGCAAGTCACAAATGATATCATGCTGATCAAAAACCAATATTCAGATATATCAAACAATTATCCAGGCAAGTTACAAATGATATCATGCTGATAAAAACCAATATCCAGATATATCAAACAATTATCTAGGGAAATCACAAATGATATCATGCTGACCAAAAACCAATATCCAGATATATCAAACAATTATCCAAGCAATTCACAACAGATATCATGCTGGTTAAAAACCAATATCCCGATATATCAAACAATTATCCAGGGAAATCACAACTGATATCATGCTGACCAAAAACCAATATCCAAATATATCAAACAATTATCCAGGCAAGTCAGAAATCATATCATGTTGATTAAAAACCAATATCCAGATATATCAAACAATTATCCAGGCAAGTCAGAACTCATATCATGCTGAGTAAAAACCAATATCCAGCTATATCAAAGAAACAATCCAAGCAAAATACAATGGATATCCATAATCAAAATAAATAATATCGGAACGCACACAAAACAGATTATAACATGTATAAGAGATTTAGAGTGCACCGAAATCTGTACCTCGCCTTGCTTTGACCTCGAGCTGCTCCTTGTGCAGCTCCTTCTGCTTCAGCGTCTTCTTGTGCAGCTCCTTCTGCTTCTTCGACTTCAACATTTTCTTCTTCCTCATTTTCCTCTGGCTGTGGCGGTGGTGATGGCTGTCGTGGAGTCGGTCGGCTGTTTCCTCTTGGTTGTTTTAGTCCTTGCCATTGATAAATCTCTGCACATACAAATACCCTGATCCTATCAAACAACTATCCAAGAAAGTCATAACTGATATCATGCTCAAACAAAATCAATATCAAGATACATTAGACAACAACCCAGGCAATAAACAACGGATATCCAGAAGTAACAGAATGCATATCTTGCCGAACAGAACTCATATCGGAAGGAACACAAAGCAAATCCACAAAACCCAGAAATAACATCCACAGAAGAACGAACTCATATCCAGTGACATATAAGTTACCACAAAATAAATATTTTAGTCCTTGCCATTGATAAATCTCTGCACATACAAATACCCAGATCCTATCAAACAACTATCCAAGAAAGTCATAACTGATATCATGCTCAAACAAAACCAATATCAAGATACATTAAACAACAACCCAGGCAATAAACAACGGATATCCAGAAGTAACAGAATGCATATCTTGCCGAACAGAACTAATATCGGAAGGAACACAAAGCAAATCCACAAAACCCAGAAATAACATCCACAGAAGAACGAACTCATATCCAGTGACATATAAGTTACCACAAAATAAATATTTCACCCACGAACCCAAAAGACAAATCCACAAATGGAAAACCCGATCGTAGCCATGAAACCCTAACTCAAATATGTCCAAACGAAAATGAATATTCATGAACAAAGTATAATTAAACCCAAAAGACAAATCCACAAAAGGAAAACCCGGATCTATAAGACTAAGACAGTTACCTTAGTCTAAATCCCGCCGATTCGTCTGCAAAGTCGCCGCCGTCAACACAAGTTTCGCCGCCGTGAAAGCCCCGCCTTCGTCGCCGCCGAAATCCCGCTTCGGTCGCCGCCGCTTCGCTCGCCGCCGCAGGAACTCGCCGCCGCTTCGCTCGCCGTGCAGGAACTCGCCGCCGCAGGAACTCGCTCGCCGCTGCACCGCTGGTCCTTCGCCGCCGCTTAGCTTGCTTCTTCGTCTCGTGAGAGGAGGAAAGTGAGAGAGAGGGGAAGTCGAAGTGGGGGAGAGAGGGGAACTGAATTGGGGGAGAGAGGGGAACAGTTTTTGGTTTTTGAATTGTGGGCCCGGTGGGCTTGGTCAGTCGTGGGCTCGACCAACCGACCCAAACCGGCTCACCTTCCTCTACCCAAACCAGGCACCATCTTACCCTTGCCCACGTGGACAAAAGATCCACCGTGTGAGTATCTACTCACACTTTATGCTGTGAGCAGCATAACTAAATTTAATAAATAGACCCCTTGCGATCCAATTGACATAACTTAATAATACATACAGGGAGCCGTAAAGTACAAAGGAAAGGAGGAGAGCAAGGTTGTCAAACCGATTTATGCTAGTTTGTTGATTTAGCAAGTGGAATGGTTCGACCGGTGGCACATTTCGGTTTGTGCCGGTTCATCCCGGTCAATATTACAAACAAAATTATAAATAATCATATTTAAACATGACATTTAACGTCAATATTTAAACATTTATACTTGAATCCAACAAATAACATCAATATTTAACTTTTATACTCATAAAATAAATAATAAAATAATTTTTATCAATTAAATCTACTAAAATAAGGTCATGTTGCTTAGAGATTCGTATATGGATCATGCCAGTCATACCGTGATGTCATGCCAGTCATACCGTGATGTCATGCCGGTTTTATGACCGATACCAGTTGAACTGGTGGCATGCCGGCCGGCGTGACAACCATGGAGGAGAGTCAAAAATCGTTCCTCCCGCCGCTCAGCTCCGCCGGCTCCTGCTGGCTCTCGTTCCAGCGCCTCGTCGACGACTACCTCCCGAACTTCGACATCCGCTCCTCGTGCGGGTTCGCCGCCGGCTGGATCTCCCAGGGATGCGTCAACATCACGACAATCCAAGATTTCGAAACCCTATTCTCCAATTCCTCGCTCGCCGACCTCGATTCCGCTTGCAATCAGCCCTCGACAACAGATCCCCTTGCGCCAGCTGTACCACGGCTCTCTCCAGGCTCCAAGCCCTCTACTTCCCCCGCAGCCAGCTTCACTCAATCGGAAACATCTCCGATGGCCAGATCTACCCTTGGATCTACACCGCTGCTGTCGTCAATCCCGTCGAGAATAAAAGGAAAGTCAAAATTAGGGTCTTGAGTATTGAGAGACCTCCCATGGCGCGGCTTGCCTTACCAATTGAATTTCTTGGTAGCCGAAAGAGAAACCTTGCAGTTTGCTGATGATCAAGGAGTCCACTCTGCTAAATTTTTTGTTCTTTGAGGCTTCTTCCGTTCTGCATGTCTTTAATTTCTGATCTCTATTTCTGATTCCCTTGGTTATCTATTTTGTTAGGCTGGTGTTATCTTTTTTGAATTACCGGTGGTGTAGGTTTTGTGTTTTGAGCGTCAACATCCCAGATTTTTCCGGTTGGAATCCTTGCCGGGGCAGCTATCGCTGCTATCGGCGGCCACGGCTAGCCGATATCACTCGATCTGCATCGCTGGCAATGGATGGTGGCGATGAGGCGGTTGAACTTGAATGGATAAGTATTCATTGTGGAGTGGATACCTCCTTTTTTTCGTTAAGCATGCGGTTAATTGTTATTTATTGGTTTGTTGTGGTTATTTTTAGGGCTGGGAAAATAGACCAGACCGTTAGAAAAACCGTGGTCCAAACCGTACCGCACAGTTTGGTTCGGACCGTAGACTGTTAAGTATGGTCTGGTCTGGTCCATGGTCTTTATTATTTTATGTTTTGATTTCTTGGTCTGGTCTGGTCTAGACCGCGGTTTACCGGACCAAACCGTGGACTTAACTGACTTGTCAATACGTGTTAAAACCCCATTCGACCACTCTCCCAACTCTCACAGCGACACCCAAGTCTCAACCTTAGTTTCGTTAATATCGTCCCTCCTTCATTCACAACCACATTTAACCAGAGAGTAGAGATAATTGTGTCTCCATATGACATTATGTTAATGTTTATGACGTTATGGTGCAAGTTGGGATGCTTTTACTTTGTATATTTGTTATGTACTAAGATTTAGGGTATCAAAAATATTCGTGCATGTTAGGATTAATGTGTTAAGGAAAATAACAATTATTTTTCTTGGTCATTGGTTCAATTTTGTGTGTGGTTGACTAAACAAATTATTCATTTTTCGTTGAGTGTGGTCTATCCGGACCAGACCAGACCGAACCAGACCGCACAGGCGTGGTCTGAACCGGACCGTATAGTTTGTGGTCTGGTCTGTGGTCTATACTTCAGGCTCTCGGTCTGGACCATAAACCGTGTATATGGTCTGGTCTAGACCAGACCGCACCGTTTCCCAGCCCTAGTTATTTTATCATATTATCTTGTAGCACAGGACCCGGCCCGTTGGCCGGAAAATTTTGTCGGGAAATATGATATATAATAGAGGATTTGAAATCACAAAACGATTGTTTTCTAACTTAGTTATGCACATAACATTTTTGAAAGTGATCCAACTATGCATAATGTGTTTAGACCTCCATGAAAAGAGAAAAATATAATATAAGCATTACTTATAATTATTGATGAAAAAAGAAATAAATATAACTAATTGTCATCCATTACTTAATTAAACCATATAGTTGAATATTAGAGTTGTTTCTCATAATACATACATAATCAACCTTTAAGATGAAAGAAAATGTCTCTCATAGAGTTTAGGGCATGTTTGGAAGTTAGGATTCTCTAAATTGATGTATTTAATCAATGTATGTATTATAATTAGATGCATTGTTTCATTGTATGAATTTGAAAAATATATTGTTTGGAAATTGAATGATTTTGGTGGTCCCTCAAAGAATAAGGAACAAAAAGTAAGACAACAATCCCTCAAAAAGAATCAACACATACTATAATACGCTGAAGCAAAAAACAGACCCCCCATTTCAAAATCCCAGCCTCCAGAGTGTTTGTCGGAGGGGTAGTTTCGGAACGGCAGTTCTAAAGGTTGGTTATCCTAGCCTCCTCCTCTCTCCTTTGAAGGTTGTCAATCAGGAGCTCCATTGCTGATTTTTTCTCCCAGTCAATCTGAGCCTGCCTCTCTCCGTCCTCCGCCGTTGTCAATCCGACCCTCCTCCTCTCTACTTCCTCCGTCTTCACCGACAACGGGCCTGCTGAATTTTCTCCCAGTCAATCTCAGCCTCCCTCTCTCCGTCCTCCGCCGGTGTCTATCCGAGCCTCCTCCTCTCTCCGTCCTCCGTCTTCACCGCCAACGGCCCTCTGAATTTTCCTCCCAGTCAATCCGAGCCTCCCTCTCTCCGTCCTCCGCCGTTGTCAATCCGAGTCTCCACCTCTCTCCAGCCCTCCGTCTTGACCGCCGAAATCGTTCAGTATCCCGGCAGCCCTCTCGCGCTCTTCAGGTGATCTTTCCTTCTTTTGTGTTGTTTATATTTTTAATTTCTTCATCTCAATCGATCCCAACGTCTTTGGTTTTCTAGCTTCTGTTTTGATTAGGTTCAAATTGCATATGAAAGGGTTTGTGTTTTTACGGTTGGGGAATAATTTTGGGGCCAGAGAATAAAAGGCAGCAGGCGGAATTCTCTTTTGGGGGGACAGAATTTCGTGGAGAATTAATAGAGAAAGGAGCTGGCGATCAATCGATCCCAACGTGTTTGGTTTTCTAGCTTTTGTTTTGATTAGGTTCAAATTGTATTGAAAGGGTTTGTGTTTTTATACATAATTGCTAGGTGATTACAGTTCAAGGAACGTTTGTAGAGGCTTGAGGTTTAATAAGAGAGGAACCACACCTTATGGAGGCCAAACTTTAAACTGTCGAACCTAACTTCCAACTGTCGGGCCTAACTTCCAATTGCCGGTTGGGAAGACAGTAATCAAACTACAGTTGTACTGGTTTCAGGCCGTCCGTGCACGCAGGCCGTTCGAGGATTGTTCTCCAGGGTGCAGAATTCATCCATTTTCCAGCCGTTCATCAATCCTCTCGGTGTCTGCGGCTGTACGATTGGGTTTCGGTGCCTCTCCCTTCAATCGCGGATCCAACTACGTACTTGCATTTTCAAGAGGGTTTCGTCAAGTCGAGGGGTCAGGGAACTGGCATATGTGGCCTGATCAGAATTGGATTCGTTCATCAGCCTCAAATAGTGAATTCTGAGGTCCCTTTCAAAGCTGAAATTCCAAGTAAGTTATCTTTCCCTAGCTTTTTCAACTTTGGTTTAGCATTCAAGGGTGCTCATGAATAGTATGCGGGATTGAATTTAAGAATCATGGTGGCAGTCGGCTGTCATTTCCCAGATTTTCAACTGTGATTTAGGGTTCATAGGGTGCTTTTAATCAGACCACGGGATTGGAATTGAGAATCATGTTGATGGTCGACTGTGTAATTTAAATACAGTTTGGGTGAATAGTTAACTTGGTCTGACTAGGTAACCCATTATCCTTGCTGCCACGTTCCTTTGCTCAAATACCATTAGATTAACACTTTTAGCCCTTTGGAATGGGTTACTTTGCTAGGATTCCAGCAACTACAGTGTAAAAAGATTAGTGTTTCATAGTGAGATGATAAGCCGCACTCTATAAAGAAATTAGGGGTTGGAGGAGTTTTGATTTAGAAGAGCCGTCTTTGGAATACCTTAGTACATGAGTTTGGCTTGAGTTGATTGTTGTGATTGGGGAAGGGAATTGGAAGTCAAAGTGGCCATGGGTTCTATTAATGTCTATTCATCTCTGTATTGGGTGGGTTTGAGTTTTTGTCCTGTTTCAATTGTAGTGGTTGAATGAAGGGAAGAGTTGAGTAGTGATCATCTTCCTCCTTCCTCATTGATTTACTATTTGTTCTCTTTTCCGGCTAAATCCCAAGTCTTAATTTACTCCCCATCATGAATTCAGTTTCGGATGGAAGTGATGTCGAACCGGTCCTTGGTGACTTGGTGCGAAAGATTGGACAGGAACACCACAAAAGCTATTCCATTCAGCGTGTTTGATCGTCTGTCAATTTGGGTTTGGCCTGGTTCTGGGTTTACCTTCTACTTCCTTTCTGTTTTATAGAAGGGCCCAACTTACTTAATTTTTAATCTCCTTTCCGTTGTGTTGGTGTTTATGTCAGATGATTTCATGTACGGATCAGTTTGATTGATAGATGTATCAATTTTAAGTCAATATATCACCTCTGATTCGATTTCATCATACTCAACTTGGCGCAGAACCAAACTTTGGATTTAGCTCTTTGATGATTTTCTGGTGGTGCTTTTTTGATTCATAGATAAAGGGGGAGATATTCTATCAAACTTTGGATTGTGCTCTCTGTCTGAGAATTGTGGCAAACAAATAATGAATATGCACCAGAACTCATGGTTTGTATCTCTATAGTTAAATGTTCTATATGAGTGCTGAAACTAATACTTTTCTGGTGTGTGCATGATGAATATGGCATAAGTACTATGGTGATTAGAATTCTGCCTTCTAATAAAAATAGCACTGCTCCTAATATGATATATTATTTCTGATAGTTGCTTAGGTCTTGCCTTTATGAGAATGACGCATATCCTCTACTATTGTTTTGGAATTTTGTTTGTCTGTTGACGGTGATTCTAATAGTTCAGTACTATGTTCTGCAGTGAGCCTAGATGTTGTAATTGTTAATGGGTTTTGGTTTCTCTGTTCTTCTTTTGATTTTTTCCCCCATTCTTTAAGTTTTCTAGATTTTAGTACTCTCATATTGTGGCGATGGAAAACCATAGAAAAGTAGAAGTTAAATATTATGCAAGAAAGAGGGCCTTCATTGTTCATCCAAGTTTGGTTTTGAAAGAAAAATATGGGTAACTCAAACTGAAATTTTAAGCTCCATATACTCTTCAATCTTATGTTTTTCCATAATTCGGCTTTGTTTATATATTTATAAACTCTATTCTGGTTGACTGATTCCAGCGGGATAAGATGTAAATTACAAATCAAATTTGTGTTTCCTCTTAGAGTTCTCTTTAGGATTTGGAATTTTAAGATGATTGATGCTCTGTATAACTTTGGTTAAGTTCATTTGAATGTGAAGTTAGGTAGTTTTCAAGTTCTTTGTCGTAATTTTGTTCCCAGTAATGTTTTCTGATAGTTGCAGAAACCATTGATAGTGTTCAAGTTTGCAGCTCCTTTATTGTTCCAGTTTGGAACCTGTGTTTCTATTGATAAAGACTTGGGGTTGTTTCCCTATGGTTTTCAAGTTTCTCTTTTAGATACTTGAAGGAGTCGTTGTTGTGGTTGTGTCCTGGACTTTTACATTATGCAATCGTTTGATCGGGTACTCATGTTTATCGACTGTCGACCTTATTGATTGATTCTTTTGGTCAATCTGCAAGGGAAGACACTTATGTAAAGAGCGTTGGATTCCTAGGAAATTTCTCTACAATACATTAGAACCTTGAGATGCCTTTAGAAGTTCCTTTGATAGTCAGAGCAGGAAATGCCCCATTGGCTTATTAACAAGCCAATTTTTGTTGGTAGTTGCGGGGAGGTGTATCTGCTAATTTCAATGTAGTTTTCCTTCATGCATTACTCGGTGAACTTGAGGTGATATTGTTTTGCTTATTTTCATTTTCTATACTATCTCCTTCTCTCTTTTTTGTTTTTCACTCTTAATTCACCCCAATCTCTTATTTATGAATCTTAAAAACAACATATGTTTGGGATTAAATAAAAATCAGATTCACAGCCTGACCTGGAATCACAAGTAGAAAGTAAGAATTTGCTTTGGATTGATGCTTAAGGTGGCTCTCTTCTCGATTGATGCCTTACTGATTAGCTAACCACACTCCATGATTTGGTTCGCGATTTGAATGCATTTGTTAAGTATACTTTGTATAGGGTTGAGATGATGAATCTGTGTCGTCAACCTAACGTCCAAATGATAGAGCCCTAAGCCTGAAGGTCGTTTTGATCATATTCAATAGGTCTTGCTTTCCAATAGCCACTTCTGTCAAGGGCTGCGTTTTAAATTCGTGGGTTCATCTTTGCTTTCGGGTTTTTCTTTTTCAGTATTGATTAGAGATTGCTGTAGATTTTGTTTCTGTTCTGTTCAGTCTTTGTGTTTTTGGAATTCATAGCAGATGTGTATTTGTTTACGCTTAGCAATTTCCACATGCAGCTGCTGCGTCCCTTGCAGAATTGGTTAACTGGTGATTAGTGGACAGGATGAAACATAGCAAAGTTTTTCTGAAATAGTAGCTTTTTGTTGCCTCATTCCGTCCAATCGAATGGTTTCGATTCAGGATGAAACAACAGCTATGATATCCTTGCTTCATTTTATTTCGCTTATGTCTAGGATTGTTGGGTTCTAGTGATTAAATGATACGAAGAATTGTTATCATTCAATAGATACCAACGATCATGCTTTTTCAATCATTGTTTTTTATTCTTCTTTTAGTATGCAAGTAATAGGTTATGGATAATGTTTGAAAAATGATGAGTTAGATTGTTTATGTCGATGATTAGTTGTGGTTCTGTTTTCTGCTACTTCCTGGATTCTAGAAATTTGGCCCCATATGTCTTTTGCTTTCATTTGGTTTGTGCTTCATTATTCCACTTCTTGACAGCAGCTGGGGATTTGCAATTTGCTTGCTTTACTGCCAGGCCTGTGCTTTGCAGAACCTGCTCCCAACTATCGTAGTATGCGTATTCCTGTTAATCTTATAACGAATGAAAATCCAACTCTTCTCTGGTTTAAGTGTGATTATAGTTAGAATTTGTTTCTATCTTGCAGTCCTGTACTACAACTGGTCTACATCTATACATCGTATTCTAAGGATTCATCTATTATTTGTTTTGGATAACTTACTATGGTGAGAAGATAGACAGATCTAATAGTCATAGACTTAAGTTTGTTTCCCTTTTGCACCTCTTTGTTGGCTGCATATGTTACAAACAGCCTACTATGAAAGACGGTGCTGATAACAATGGATTGCATATATTATATACTCCTGGTGTGTTTAATTTGCAACAAACAATTAGTGATTTTATAGACTTATATTTATGAGCTTAGTAAATCCTTTTGTAAATGCATATTTGATTAGTTTGATTACAAGTCTGGCCGACTAATGTTGAGTATGGAAGCTACAGACCGCGTTACATTCGCAAATTCCATACATCACCTTCCTCCGGCCAACGGGCCGGGCTACACGCTAGTCTCTACTAAAAGTTGAGATTGACAATCATTCATAATGAATGATTCTGGTGGGCCCATTTTTTGTTCAACTACAAGCATTCTGTTTCATTTTAAGCCAAAAAAACGATGAATTCTTCTGATTACATGTATTGGCTAAATACATCATGTGAAATCCCAACTTTCAAACAAGCCCTTAGTATGCCCTTTAAGTTTTTACTAATAGAGAAGGGTTAATACCTTGTTATGGCCTGAACTATGACCATGTAATCAACTTTGGCCAGTGGTTTGAGAAATTAACATCCTGGCCCGAACTATGCAGCATATAGACAAAATTGGCCTGGAGCGTGGTTTGACCGTTTGTTTAGACGGTCAACACCGTTGACCGTTAGTCAACTGTCCAGGTCACTGTCATGTCAGCATAAAAAAATTATAATTTCATTTTTCTTTTTATTTCATTTACAAAATTGAATAATTAAAAAAAAAACAAAAACAAAAACTTTTGGCCCAGCCATCCCCACCTTATCCCCTCACCTTCTTTCCTTTTCGATCAAACCCAAACAAACCCTATCTTCCATCTTCTTCCTCCTTCTTCCCAGACGAGCCGCCGCCTGCATCATCTTCACCAGCTTCCCCTGAAACCGTAAAAACAAAACCTCCACACAAGCTCTGCCTCTTCGACCAGCTCTTCCCCTTAACCTACACTCCACTCATCCTCTTCTACGCCAACCCTGAAACCCCAAATCTCCAATCCACCGATCGCTTCATCGCCCACCTGAAGCGCTCTCTTGCCGAGACTCTGACCGTCTACTACCCTTTCTCCGGCAGGACGGATTCGGGCAATTTGCTCATCGACAGGTTCGGGGAAAGCATCCCGTTCATCCATGTCAAGGTCGAAAGCTGCCGCCTTTCCGATTTCCTCAAACGCCATGAACCGGAAAACCTCAACTGCCTCCTCCCTCGAGCTCCCTTCCGTTGAGAAAGCTTCGAATTCGACTCCCCTGTTTTGGAGATGCAGGTCTTTGTTTTCGCCTGCGGCGGAATCGCCCTGGGATGGGCCGCTTCACACAAATTGATCGACGGATTCACAATGATATCTTTCCTCAAGGCCTTCTCCGCCGTCTCCCGCGGCGGCCGGGAGAGGGCGGAGATCCTCTCCACCGCCCCCGCCCTGTTTCGACTGCAATCTGATGGAAACCCTCTGGTTTATAAAAGGAAACTACGTGACCCGACGATTCGTTTTCGATTCCGAGTCGATTTCGAAGCTGAGAGCCGTAGCATCGGCGGTGGGAGGAAAAATAGAGCAAGAACAGGGAGGAAAAATAGAGCAAGAACAGGGGAAGGAAAAAATCAAGCTCTCCGCTGCATTTGAAGTCGGAGAGAATGGAGGCGGCGGCTCGTCGGGGAAGAAGGAGGAAGAAGAAGGAAAATATGGTTTGTTTGGGTTTGATCGAAAAGGAAAGAAGGTGAGGGGATAAGGTGGGGATGGGTGGGCCAAAAGTTTTTGTTTTTGTTTTTTTTTAATTATTCAATTTTGTAAATGAAATAAAAAGAAAAATAAAATTATAATTTTTTTATGCTGACATGAAAGTGACCTGGACAGTTGACTAACGGTCAACAGTGTTGACCGTCCAAACAAACGGTGAAACCACGCTCCAGGCCAATTTTGTCTATATGCTGCATAGTTCGGGCCAGGATGTTAATTTCTCAAACCACTGGCCAAAGTTGATTACATGGTCATAGTTCAGGCCATAACAAGGTATTAACCCAATAGAGAACATTCTTTTTTACCAAACCATTGGTAATGAATCTGAAGTTGCTTGATTTGAAATATATAGGCCACGATGCTAAATTGTCGCTAATAGTTGGTTAGACAATGTGTTGTGTATTGATTTCCAAAATTATTCTCAGATCGCAGACATGTCTAGCAACAATGTAGCAATTTTCATGCAGCAAATATTTTTTTCATGAAATAATTCAATAAATAAAAACCTATGAAAATCATATTACATGAAATATATAGTACTCTTATTAAGTTGATGAATGAGCAAGGGTATAAGTAACATACATTTATTTTAAAAATATAGAAGTTGCAAAGTGTCTTTTGGGTTGAATGAGATTGTATATTCTCATTATCGCTAACTGACTTATGCTTTTTTGCAATAGATAGTTCAAAATGTGCCTTAAAACTTTTGTTTCCACCAGTGTAAAAGAATTGTTTGAACCAAATGATTACAATAGTATCAAAAAATTTGGTAGCAGAGTATTTTATACGGAAAACATAATTTAACTGTGGTTCGACAGTTTCATATTGCTAAATATCACCTATCGATTTAGCTTATGATGTGAAGTTTTATGGTCGAACTGCCAGTACGTACGATCTTTCAATTCAAACTTTAAATAGAAACCATTAAAATATTGACATGATCAAATACCCTTAAATCTCATAAATTACCATAATCGTATTAAGGGAAAAAATCATCCAAATGATAATACTGATTTAGGATTTTATGGGGTCATTTGAAAGTTGCGATTGTTAAATAAATATTTTGTTGTGAATGCATGTATAATATTATATATGTATTGTCGGATTAGATGCATTGTGTATGTCACATAAGCTAAAAGCTGAGTCAAAACAATCCCAACTCAACTATCTCAACAATAACAATTAAAAGTTGAGATATAATCACTCATTTTGATTGATAGTTCCGGTCACATCACAGATGTAATCCATGTATTGGTTTTACTAAAAAATATAAAAAATGATGCATTCTAAACAATACATGTATAGTAACAATATCAACAAAACAATCGCAACTTTCAAACGATCCCTTAATTGAAATGGAAAAAATCTATCAAATATAATATCATCTCCTAAAATAAATCAAAACTCAACAGGGCCAAGAATACCTACTAAGCAAAGCAGAAGGGCAATTATTTCATACTACCTCATTTTCTCCCAGCCTCCCCCCGAACTCAACCTCCCCATTGAACGAAGCTGCTACAGTCCGCCTCTTCTTCCTCTAGCGGAGGGAGAGAAGATCGATCCGGTAAACTCCTTCTCTAGTCGGCGAAGCTCCAGCGACGAAGGACGGGTTTGCTTTTAGATGCCAGTAGGTATTACCCTTCCACCACTAAGTTAATCATTCTCAAGGACTTAGATGCTCGAGGTCATATCAACAGAGGTGTGGATTAGGCTGGATGAGACAGTGATGGCTACACTTGCCCAGCAGGTTCTCGATAATCCTCTTTGTTTTTCCATTTGTTCTTCCATCTCTCTCTCTCTCTCTAAGCTTTATATCTCACCACTCTCCCCCTTTCCCTTTCTCTTTCTTCCCACCGCCTGGAATCGAGCGAAACCTAGAAACATCCTAATTACTTCTCCGATTTTGCATTCGAAATGCTTCTTCTCCATTCACAGTCGATAGTGTGAATCAGAGGACCTGAAACCTGGCGAACATATGGCCGCTTATTCCTCTCAAATGGCGCATTTCTCCACAAACACATGAGTTCACCAATATAGATTGTATCTTGAAGTTTAAGTCTGGTACGACTCATGAAGCATTGATGCTTGTATAGTGTGTCACGCTAGCTCGACCATGTGCCTGTGTATAGTTATATGCATTTTAATAATTAAGTTTTTACCTATTCGCAACACCAAAATAACAAACAATCATAAATGCACCCAGTATTTGATTTTGACTACATGATAAAATACTACATTTGAACCAACTACCACTGATGCCACAAATAATAAGTATATCTCTAAATCATACATAAAATATTTCAAACATCACAAATATTAAGATTAAATTAATTATTATAAAGAGTAAAAATTGTATAATGAGTTTAATTATAACTCATTTATATGTTAATGCCCTTAAATTGATCAACACACCCAAAAATGGCAAAATGAACATCAAATTAAACCTAATATCGTCTCATTATTGTCGGATCCATTCATGCTAGATTAGCCAGAGGTTTAATGTTTAGCAATTAACCATGCTACAATTTTAGAGAATCAGTCACCTATAGTTTGTAGAAAATATTATTGCTTCGTAGTAGTTCTGAAAATCTATATTAATTAAAAAATTCTACATCTCTGTTGCATATTCAATATGCAATTCGATATACAATATTTCAAGCATTGAAATTTGTGTTGCAACTTTAAGATTACCCATCGTTTTATAGGTTATAAAAAAAATTATAAATCACGTATTAAACTTTGCTTTTTAGAATATTTAATAGGCTAGCTAACCGTGATGAAAAGTTCCTATGCTTTTCAACTCTTCGCTAAGTGTATGCTTACAATTCAAGAAGATAAAAATAAATTTGTTTAGTGTAATTGATTGTGATTTTGTTTTTAAGAGACCATGGTTCAAATCTAGATGTTGATACTTTTTTATAGGAAGTAGATAAATAATTGCGATGAAAAAAATACTCTTCCTACTTTCACTCTCGTTTCACGAAATTGGAAATGAAAAATCTTAAAACATTGAATATATCTTATAGAAAGAACTTCTTCAACTAGGTAAGAAGGACATTTTACCTGAAATTATTATATTTTATAGAAGTGATTAATTATGAAATCAGAACTCAACTAACATTGGTTCAAACATTAAATATGAAATTGTATACAGTTTAGATAAAATACATGTGTGTAGCCAAAACATGGGTCTTAGTGACATATATAGTAACTTTTTGTGATAAATCTACACATAATATAAAGATAAGTTTGGCACTATGACGAAAAAAGAGGTTCGTAGAATCACTCTCAGGCCACGAAATTTAAAAGAAGACTCCCATTTTCCAATTTCATCATTATATTATGTATATATTTGTCACAAAAAATGGCTATACTCGTTACAAATGTCCATGTTTTGGTTACACTTCTGTATTTTGTCTAAACTAAACTAAACTAAACTAAACTAAACTACACATACAATTTATTATTAATGTTTGAATCAATGTTACTTGAGTTTCGATTTCAGAACTAAATGTCTTTCTATAAAATATAAATAACTTAAGATAAACTATAAATATAGAAATATTATCACCAAACATATTCCTAGAGTTTAATGAAAAAAATAACAATAAACACAATGTAGTCTAGTTGGTTATATAAAGATAAAGTGGGTGCAATGACAAAAATGACTTTTCTAGAATCACTCTCAAGCCACGATTGCAATGGGAGAATTCCAACCAATGTTTTGCCTTTATATATCTGGCAGATTCTCTGAAGAGGGAAGTGTCTTTATCCCAACGTTTGACAGGTGGTGCTTGACACGTTGTTGCTTTTGTGTTTATCTGTTGAGAATTGAGATCGAGAAGCTTGACTTTTTTCTACCTCGGGCCACTTTTAGTCATATTTGCAGGGGCTGTTTGGATCTCGTTGGGCCTTCAGCTTGGTGGGCTTGGAGAGTTTTTGACATCCTTGCATACTCATGGTCTTTTGTTATGTTCAGCAGTCCTCTTCGGGTGGCTGCTTTTGAGTGGCAATGATGTCACTGTTGTTATCCATGGCCTTGGGCCTATCTGTTTGTTTGTTTTACAGGTACAACAGCGAAATTGTTTTTATGACGATAGACAATGAGCTAGGTGCTGATCAATTGAAGCTGCCAAGGGTGCCTTGTTGTGGTATACGGTTGTTCATTTTGTAGGTGTTCTTCCTGCCAAGACTGCAACGGTTTGCTTCAATTTCAGCGTGGTTAGTTTCATGATTTCCCCTTCATTGGATAGAAATCATGAATAGTGCCCATGCCGTATAGGTATAAAGAGCTGCTCGTTGCATGGCGAAAATATTCTCTTATCGATGGTTCGATTATTTATCGACCTTCGTCCCTTTCTCTTATATTTATTATTATGGTTGCCTGAAAAGGCTTTCAATTCGTATCTAGTTGTTCCCTATTGAGAATATTGATACGGGCTGAAGTTGTAAAGATCGAGATCTCCCTTTCCTTGGCAGGAAGAAGCCAGTGTTCTATTTTCTTGGCTAGAACAACCAGGGTTTCTTTTGACTCTAAAAATGCTTGCCTGTTATTCACTCTCAACCCTCCTTAAGTACATCACGTTTGCAGAAGGAAAACAACTTGGAAAAGGGAAAAAACAACCATTCCTATCTATGTGGAACGAAACCCACGACCTGCTAACAACTACTCTCCAGTTATTCTGTAATTAAAAAACAACCAACAAAGCTAACTACTTACTGACTCGTTCAACGCGACTACCGCAATTGCGGAAGTTGACTCAAGACTCTAGACACCTACAATGGCAAGCTTGACAGGA